ACTGCGGCGAGCCCAGACTGCAGCCTCAGGCGACTGATCCAGTCAGCCTAATCACAACGCGCGACATGAGCTCTTGTCAACAGCCCCTTCCACAAACAGCCGGCGGCTGATGAGGATCACCCGGCGGCCGCTGTCAGCCATCGACCCGAACGGCCGCTGTGCTGACAGTGGCGCCGCGTTGCCTGCCGGCGTCACAGCGTCCGCCTGGGGCTCCGAGGTCCGGCCCCAGCAGCGCGAGCTCGCCCCGGCACCAGTGAGATCCACACGTGCTCGCCACAGGGGCCGCCCCTGGCCGCCTCCCGCCGCCCCAGACGTCCCGGCGTGGGGACGTAGGGGCGTAGCCGCGGGCACATCTCGGAACACCCCGGGCGCCCGTGCACCTCGATTCATTTATTTTCATCCGCCACCACAGGGCCGCTGTCGTGTATGTCTGGCATGTTTGAGCACGCTGAGTGAGACTGCAGAGCGCCAACTCGCCCGCCCACGTGTGCCGCTCACCAGTTCGTTGTTGTCAAGCTTGAGGTTGCGGCAGCGCACCTGCAGCTGGCTGACTTGCGAGCCCAGCTGGGAGGCGCGCCGCACCAGGCCGCGCTCGCGGTCCGTCAGGCTGGACCGCTGCTGCGGAGACACGAGGGCACGCCGCCGTCAGCGGGCGGGAGCGCGCGAGCACCGGTGAGGGGGTACCGGACGGACGCCATCGCCGGGGTGCCGTGACGCACACCTCGGAGAGGAGACAGAGGCGGCCGGAGAGAAACCGCACCGCATACGGAGCAGACAAGCCAAACGCAGGAATGTTGGGAAACATTTCACAGGGGCAGACGTCGCGGCAAGGGAAAGAGACAGGGACAGGCACGGCTGCCGAGGCGCGAGGATGTGTTCAGCTGTCAGGGAAGTCAGGGTAAGTGATCACAACAACACCACGGTGAAGAGAGCTCGCACATGAAATGGAACGTAAATAATTGCAGGGTACGCGGACAAACACCACTGCCAGTGTACAGGAAGCGTCACGATCGGAGAACAGGAAAAATACGTCACGATCGAAGAACAGGAAAAACAGCAATGTCATGACACGGGGATCAACGCGAACACGGGTTCGAGGGTACGCGCCACATCTACCGACAACGGGCAGACACCGCTTCCAGGGCACCGTGGCGCAAACGACTCGACCGATGTCCGATGACCGCGCGACCGGATTTGCTTGTTTCTGAAGCAAACGGACGCACGTGACGTGAACCCGTGCAGTCCCCTCTCACTCCTACCATCGCCCGTGCGCGTCACGCTCCCGGCGCCGGGGCCGCCGCGGAGCCGGCGGTGAGCGCGTAACGTAACGTAACGTAAGAGAGGACGCCTGCTGATTATCTGCGGTGTCGGGTGCTGGCGAGGGCCGCCGCACGGCGCCCATCTGGGAAGTCTCGCCCAAAGCAGTCGAGTGTCGAGTACAGAGCGGATTCGATCAGATTGTGGCCAACACTTGAACCGCTGAGCGCGTTATACGTAGTCAGACCATTCTGGCCGCGACAGCTGAAGGCACCGCCGTCATGTACGGCCGTGACAGGTGAGGGACCAACGGCAGACGAATTCCTGATCATCCCGCGCGGCCGGAACAGCTCGGCGGGAAGGCCAACCTGCCCTCTGGGCACGACTCCGGGAAATGTCAGCAGTACATCGGTGCCCGCATCGCACCCCGGACAACTCTGGGCGCTGGTAATGGTGTCACCAGTTCGGCACCGGGTCATCCAAGGCGAGGGTAGTACAGGAGACTCGCCAAATTAAGCTGGATAGCGTGGAACTAGTCCCCACCCACCGCCGCCCACACCGGGGCTCCCATGGCGACGGGATGGTGGGCAGAAGACTGGGACTAGCCCAGCGAATAACTTGTGATGACCTTCAAAGGTCGCAGCCGTAAAATGTCAGCTTCGGTGAGTTACGATCAGGTGGTTGCAACAACCGTACAGGCGTTGGGCTCATTTGACAGTTTCTCTACAATAACGTTTAGGTTTCACCCGAACACTGAATCCGACGAATTCCGGTCCGCGCCTGAACCTCCCATCAATATACTGCTGTCCACGTCCGGATCTCACCACCACCACAAAATATTAGCCGTCTACATCCAGACATGGACACCAACACTTAACGTTTGCTGTCCACAGCTGGACCTCACCACCAACACTAAACGTGTGTTGTCCACAGCTGGACCTCACCACCAATACTACACATCTGCTGTCCACAGCCAGACCTCACCAATAACACTAAACGTCTGCCGTCCACAGCTGGACCTCACCACCTACACTAAACGTCTGCTGTCCACAGCTGGACCTCACCACCAACACTGCACATCTGCTGTCCACAGCTGGACTCACCACCAACACTACACATCTGCTGTCTAAAGCTGGACCGCGCCACCAACACTAAACGTCTGCCGTCCACAGCTGGACCTCGCCACCAACAACAAACGTCTGCTGTCCACAGCTGGACCTCACCACCAACACTGCACATCTGCTGTCCACAGCTGGACTCACCACCAACACTACACATCTGCTGTCTAAAGCTGGACCGCGCCACCAACACTAAACGTCTGCCGTCCACAGCTGGACCTCACCACCAACACTAAACGTCTGCTGTCCACAACTGGACCTCACCACCAACACCAAACGTCTGCTGTCCACAGCTGGACCTCACCGCCAAAACCGCATGACTGTCATCACCGCGGCCCCGAACGAGTGCGGCGGCCGTGGCGGCCAGAGAACCGTTCGTCAGGCGGCCGGCGGCGGCCGGACGTACACTTATACGTCATCTCCGGACGCGGACACGGGAGCCGACACAGTAGCGGCCACGGGAGCGGACTCGGGGCCGTCACGGGAGCCGACACAGGGGCGGAAGCAGAAGCGGCCACGGGAGCAGACACTGGAGCAGACAAGGGAGCTGACACAGGGTCGGACAGAGAAGCGGTCACAGAAGCGGACACGGACGTCGATACTGGAGCAGACAAGGGAGATGACACACGGGCGGAGACAGAAGCGGACACGGAAGCCGACACGGAAGCCGACACGGAAGTCGCCGCGGAAGCCGACAAGAGATCCAACGTAGAAGCCGACACGGGAGCCGAAACGGCAGCCGAAACGGGAGCCGAAGCGGGAGCCGACACGGGAGCCGATACGAGAGCCGATACGAGAGCCTCCTTGATTGTTACCTTGGGTGTTTTGAGATTTTGTTAGGCAAGGGCTGATGCGAGATTAGAGCTGGTTTCTCATGCTCTAGTTATGACTTCAGTCTCGTTCATCTCACCAGAACTATACATGCCGCGTGTCTGCTCAGACTGTTCAGAGAAGTGCTAAAACAAAATAAGCCGGTTCGACACGTGATAGACTCCAGGATCAAAGAAGGGACCTGCTCATTTTTTCCTGCTGTAGAAAGCGTCTCTGTGAAAGTCGGTGCATACGAGTGCACTTTAACCCTATCCCAGCTTACAAGCACATTTTCCGACAAGCAAGCGACGCACATAGACGGGTTTGCTACTGTGGCCGACATTTTCGATGTGCATCTTTCGCACGGTGCATTCTCATGCCTTTTAATACGGATGAGAGAAGTAGTAGCTAGGGGCCACGGAGCCACACCGTAAATTAACATTGGTGTGTATTATCAGTATTTCGTAAGGCTGCAGGTTGTACAACCTAACAAAACATTAGCAATGCCACGCAACAGGAATAATTACCAGCACTAAAATCCGAGCCTTTCGGGCCGAAGTGTGAGTGACCGTGTTGATGAAAGTAAAATATATGAGGACAGCTCCGGCTCACAGCGAAGAGATTGGTCATAGGTTGCGACATTCCCAATGCATACTATGAACACAGCACATCTCGTGCCATCCGTCGGCCTTTCACTTGTCGCAAACGATTTAAGGCGCTTGGGCATCGGCATCCAGCGCATACAAGTTCCTCTGGCTTTCTTTTACATCAAAAATATCACGTGCAAAGCAATGACTCTACCCAGCCCCGGCCCG